GGGGGTGTCCCTCAGCCCTGCCTGCAGCCTCTCTAATCTGGGATCCCTCTCACAATCCAGGACTGCTGGCTCCCAACAGCTCGCCTGCCTGCCTGCCTGATTGCCCCTAACCGCTTCTGCCTGCCAGCCTGATCACCCCCTAACCACTCCCCTGCCAGCCCAATTGCCCCTAACTGCCCTCCCCTGCAGGCCTGGTTGCCCCCAACTTCCCTCCCCTGCTGGCCCAGTCACCCCTAACTGCCCTCCCCTGCAGGCCTGGTTGCCCCCAACTGCCCTCCCCTGCAGGCCTGGTTCCCCCCCCAACTGCCCTCTCCTACAGGCCTGTGTCCTCCCCAACTGTCCTCCCCTGCCGGCCTGATCGCCCACAACTGCCCTCCCTTGCTGGCCATCTTGTGGCAGCCATCTTGTGTGTTGGACTGATGGTCAATTTGCATATTACCTCTTTATTATATAGGATTATTGTATTATTTTCCATATGAACAACTGTAAGCCTATTTTTGCCCACCCCTGTATCTGTATAGAAACCGGAATAAGCTCTAAACTGACTTAAGCTTGAATGGCAGACTGTAACCACTCTTATTAAATAAAAGCCTCTTAAGTACTTCCATGATTATTCTGAATGACAAATTTGTAAACAGAAACCCTGAGCTGGACAGAGAACTTGGATAATAGTAGCACATTGCCCCCTGCTGATCTCTCTACAAAAGAATCACTATTTTGTCATGATGATTTTTAGATTTAACATGCCTATGCTAAGCTTTGAAATTCATGCCCAAACTTAGTAAGTCTACATCATAAAAATCCCACTGTTTCAGTCTTTCAGCCTTCCACCTGCAAATCCAAATTTTGAGCCATTCTTTGGTAAGTGAAGTTCTTACCTAGAAAATTAACAAAACTTGCCCCCCTCCTTCTTCCCCTCTGCTAGCTAATCCAAGTCAGCATATGCCAGTGGGAGGATCCCTGGGCCTGTAGTAAGGTATACTTTTTCTCAAGAGAGCATCTCTAGTTTACACTTCTCAGTCTGGTCCCCTTCCATCCCGTAGCTTCGTCTGGTGGAGTCATCTCAGGTTGTCCTTAGTCAGTTCCATTGGAATTCCGCAGGCTCTGTGCCTACTCATCCAGGAGGTGGGTACATAGAAGCTGAAAGTGTCAGGAGCTGTGATGAGGGGCTCAGTCTCCAGCCTTGTGTCTCCTGGCCTGTGAATCGCACCGTGAATGCTGGCCAGCTCTCGGACACTTTGGGTGGTACAAGTCTGCCTGAACAGGGATCCCTGAGAGGGGTGGCCTCCAGACACTCAGGGTCATACAGTAAGAGACAGTCTTGCCCCAGATTCCCAAGGCTGAATGGGACTTTCACTTCCTTCTCAGAGTGCCCTGCAGGAACATATGGCTACGGCTGTCGCCAGATATGTGACTGTCTGAACAACTCCACCTGCGACCACATCACTGGGACCTGTTACTGCAGCCCAGGATGGAAGGGGGCACGTTGTGATCAAGGTAAGGATTCTAGTGAATAATAACCACCATCTCGTATCGTGTGACCACCATCCACCCGACATGAAGTGTTTCGGCCTGTGTTCTCTGATGTAATCCTCACCATGACGCTGCAAGGCACAGCTGGTCATTCACGTAGCTGCCAGGTGGATGCCTTCTTGTTGCTGTCCTACAGATGAAAAAACTGAAGCTCAGAGAGGTTGAGTAATCTGCCCAAGGTCATGCAGCTACTATAGAACATGTCAGGGCTTTGATGTCAGATTTCCTAAGCTCATGAACTTTCCATTGCACCTACAATGTTTTTTAGTCTTACTGAGGCATGATTAACCTATAAAAAGCAATAAATATATACAATATATGTACAGTAACACAGAGTATACAATTTGATAAAAATCTGACATGCATACACCTATGAAACCATTACCACAATAAAGAGAATGAATATATCCATCACTTCCAAAACTTTCATCATGTCCCTCCTTTCCAGCACTACTCCCGAGGCCCCATCTACTTTCTGTCTCTATAGATTAGTGCAGTTTTTAGAATTTCATATAAATGGAATCATACTGTACACTTTTTGTCTAATTTTGTTTACTCGGCATAAGTATTTTAAAATTAAACCATGTTGTGGTGTATGTCAGTGGTTCAATTGTTTTTACGGCTGAGTAGTATTCTGTTGCATGGAATACACCATCATTTCCTTGCCCATTCACCTGTTGATGGACTTTTGGATTGTTCCCAGTTTGGGGCTATTACAAATAAAGCTTCTGTGTACAATAGTGTGTCAAGTTTTTTATAGGGACATATACTTCCGTTTCTCATGAGTAAATTAGTAGGAGTGGAGTGTGATTGGCTCATGTGGTAGGCATATGTTTAGCTTGTTAAGAAACTCTTGCCCATGGTTTTTAACTAAGGTGTATGTCATACTACTCTGGGGATATTGTATACGTTGACCCACTTGGCCAATCTGATTCTGGGATGAATGGGGCCTTTGAGAAAGTGCTCCTTACGATTCTGAAGCATGGCCTCCAGAGAGTTCCTACTGCACGCGGTGCCCTTCAGTAGGTAAATAATATAATACGCTCATGGGTGTAAAGGCTTTAGAATTCATACAGTATCGTAGGTGAAGTCATCTTGCACTGTAGATTATGTAGGTACTCAGTTCATTTCTTTCCGACAATAACGTTTGCATGCTCGTGATTTATGTCTGACTGTCCTAACGATAGGATGTTACGTTCCACAATCACACCATTATTACAGACGCGCCGTAATCACACTGCACTGGTCCTTGTCGCTCTGTGTTCCGGGGCAGACTGTCTCATCAAAGGTCTGGCATTTAGACTTATAAAGTCATGGGGACATTAGAGCTGGAAGCACCTTCAGGGGGGCCAGTTTCCTCATTTTCAGATGATGAAACTGCAGTGGAAGAGCTTAGGGGAAAGCAGAATATCAAGGTCAAGTGTTTCAGATGCCAGTTCCTTGACCCTGAATCTGTACCTTTAGTGTCTTCACTTGATGAAACAAGAGGAAGGATTGTGGAAAACTGAGTTTTGAATTATGAGTAAGGTTTTAGGGTGATATTATCAGGTATTACTGGGACAGACCTTTCTGTCATAGAAAATAACTGCATAGAGCAGTATTTTTCTGAAGTAAAAGCCCATTGAAATCAGGATGAGGCAGGTCCTGATCTTGGACTAGGTTTAAAATGGAGTTATTCTGGCTTGGAAGGAAAATTACTGTTAAAAATGCTAAAGATAGACATAAAATTAAGTTAGTTGAGACATTTAGGAGCTAGCCCTTCATAACCTTAATACCGTATAATAAATAAAGCACAATAAAAAATTAAATCAAGTGCCACTCCCAATTAATTGCCTAAGTGTTTAAACTGAAATAGGCGAGAAGCTCCCAAATCCTACTGTTGAATCTTGGGGTTCAGGAACTCCTGCCTTTTTTTCAAGGTTTAGAGCTGCCTTTCTCTGGGCACAGACCAGCCAACAACATCTAAAAATGAGGAACATTTGTTTCCAAATTAACATCTTAGGAGCTGAAAATATCCCGGTCTTAGCACAGCGGAAGGTGTTTGTAAGTAGAGTTCAAGCATTTACGCAGCACATTGTCATCCTTATTCGCGTCTCCTTTTCTCCTTTTTCTAGCCGGTGTCATAATAGTGGGGAACCTGAACAGCTTAAGCAGAACCAGCACGGCTCTTCCCGCTGACTCCTACCAGATCGGGGCCATCGCCGGCATCATCATCCTCGTCCTGGTCGTCCTCTTCCTCCTGGCCTTGTTCATTATCTACAGACACAAGCAGAAGGGAAAGGAGTCGAGCATGCCAGCCGTGACCTACACCCCCGCTATGAGGGTCATGAACGGAGACTATGCCATTTCCGGTGAGACTGGAGTCCTCAGAGGCCTTGTACTCTTTGAAAAGTTCGGTTTTCTTACCTGGTTCTTTGAAACTGGGTGTTGGGTGTGCTGCCCATTGTTCCTGTCAGGTAGCCTTGAGGAAATGTTGTGTTTGGAAAAGGTTCATTGTTCGAGACGTGTTCTGTATGTCAACAGTAGTAATATTACTGTTGTCTTCTAGGTCAGTGGTCGGCAAACTCATTAGTCAACAGAACCAAATATCAACAGTACAACGATTGAAATTTCTTTTGAGAGCCAAATTTTTTAAACTTAAACTATATAGGTAGGTACATTGTTATTAACTTAATTAGGGTACTCCTAAGGCTTAGGAAGAGCCACACTCAAGGGGCCAAAGAGCCGCATGTGGATCGCGAGCCGCAGTTTGCCGACCACGGTTCTAGGTGATTTCTTTAGACTTCGGGAATTTCAACCCAGGAAAAGCTTTACTGGGTAACGATTCCCAAGGTTTTGCCCTCTGTGGGGACAGGGATGGGAGAGGCGGGTGGCTGTAACTTCACCAAGGCCTGGAGCAAGCCAGGGACCAGGGACCAGGGCCAGGTCTGCTGTCTCTCGCTTTGAATTGTTCCCGCAGTTCCTTCCAGCCTGTCTCCGAGCCCACACAAATCATTAACTGCACAGCAACCAAGTTACAGAAGAAACAGTTTTTTGGTTTTAGCAAGAACCAGGGCATTTTCCTTAAGAAAACTCTCAAATCTTCCTTTCGGTCACAAGTCCTCATGAAAGTAAATTTTTAGGTGACACGCTCAGTCATCAGAAGAAGTAACCACTTAAACAGAGGAATTTGGAAACTTAAAATATTTATTAATTGGAAGGCAATTGCTGAAGAATTTTGGGGGTGTCAGATGATTGTAAATACACGGATTGTGGGAGAATGCATAAAGTAGCCACACAGAATATTGTAGTACAGAATATTGTAGTCAAGGACTCGAGTGTTTTAAAAAAGAGGAAAATGACAGCAGAAATAACTTCAAAGCGGTGCCTTCCCAGCCATACCTGTGGATATTTTCACACTTTTCAAGGAGGCTGGTAAGAAGTCAGACTCCTGCTGCTTCTAGAAGCTTCGCTGGGTGTACTGTGCAGGAGGGTATTCCGCCCAGTTTGCAAAATGGAAGCAGCCCAAATACATGTTCTCATTACATAGCTTGCTTCCCTTTTTTCCACCCAGAGTCAGGGGAGCCTGCCATCTTCTCTGTCTCCTCCTTCTCTTGCAGAAACCCTTCCTCACGGCAGCGGTGGAAATGCTAACAGCCATTACTTCACCAACCCCAGTTACCACACGCTCACGCAGTGTGCCGCATCCCCTCGGGTCAACAACAGGGACAGGATGACCATCGCCAAGGTGAGAGGCAATGGCTCAGGTCGGTGAGGGTAGGCAGGGGAGGGAGAAAGGAACAAGCAGGTATCAAGGGCTGCTGTTTGCCATGCTGTTCTACGTACTTTATATCTATTGTCTCATTTATCCCTCCAAACAGCCCTGTAAGTGTTTATCCCTCTAAACAACCCAGAGTAATGGGGGATTTGAGTCACTTCCACACACAGCTCCCCAGCTAGTGGGTGAGGCAGCTGCGATGTGAGTCAAGGTCTTTCTGTCTCTACAGTTTATACTGTTTCCATTGCTCCTCTTTGGAAAAATGTTTCTAATATTGGGTGAGGTTTTAAAATAATGTCTCATAGCAGAATACAGCAGACTCATTTCTGGGTAAAATTGCCAAGTTTGTCTTTTCTGATCACCTGTCTCCCAGTGCCCTTTCCTGGGCACTTGTACTTTCATAACAACAACAATATGTATGTATTTAGGTCAAACCACATGAAATTGCATTTTTGTAGGTCAAAGGGATCAAATAGAAACAATGTGCCAAGCATTTCTAGTTATTTTACCTATAGAAGCTCATTTAATCTTTATGCCAATCCTATGAATCAAGAGTAGATATTATTCCCAATTGGTAGAAAGATTGAAGAGCCAGGGCTGCCTAGAACCCGAGCTGCTTCCTGTAGGACTCCCCAGATCTCTTCTACATGCACTGAAATCCCAAACATGCCTCCCTTCCAGTGGTACCCAAATTATATTTCCAGTCTCCGTTGTCTAATTCCAGCTCTCTCTTAAAAGACAACCAAGCTAATAAAATTAATTCAGTTGCAATTAAGTTAATGCAGCTGGATTTTAATTATAGTGCCTCATAGTTAAATAGCACTTCACATTCTCCAGAGACTTTCATATTCATCATTCCATTTGTTCTCATTCACATTCAGGGAGGGAGGCAGAGTCGATGATCTTATCCTCATATTTATAGCTCGGAAAACTGCCGAGAGTCACTGTGACTCTTACAAGATCATACAGTGTTGGATGGGAGAGCTCCAACCAGGAATTTGGTTTTTTCAATGTAAAGTTCCATGTGTGTAAACCCAAATAAGGCCTAGTTGGTACAGAGTAACATCCTGAAATCAAGAAGCTGAGGCAGTGGGGGTGGGGTGGGGGTGGGAAACAGTTGGGGCCAAGAGACATATACTCCTGCTGCCTTGATGTCCCACCAGCTCAGACATGGTCACCTCTGCCCCTCCGCCCGGCCTCATTCAAGGACCAGCCCTTAGTACATGCCATGGACTTGCTCCCCCAGACCAGTAACATTGTGCGGCACCACATTATATTCTCTTTTGACGTCTTTTGTTGTTTTTATTTTTAATAGTCGAAAAACAATCAGCTGTTTGTGAACCTGAAGAATGTGAATCCTGGGAAGAGAGGCCCGGTGGTGGACTGCACAGGCACACTGCCCGCGGACTGGAAGCACGGCGGCTACCTCAACGAGCTCGGTGATTCTCCCAACTCCCGTCCCCAACAAGCACCTTCACCTTTTAGTCACCTCAGATAGTCAGAGGTTTATGTCTGTGCCAAAGTGATCTCTTAGAAACATGCGTGAAAGACAGACTCATCGACTTCTACCTCACCCCCTTAGGGGGCTTAGGACTGTCCCAAGTGCCTTATTCATTCAGCATTACTTGAGTTTCTGCTGTGTGCCAGGAATGATCAAGTGAGATAAGGGTCTCTGCCTGCTTGTAGCTTACATTCCAACCCTCTCTAGTAACTCACTTAGTTCTCCTAGGCGCTGTAATAGGCAGGAACTATTATCAGCAGCAGCATCTCCATGTTACAGTTAAGAAGCTGAGTCTTAACAAGGTTAAGTAACTTGTGCAAAGTCTCAAACCCTACTAAGTGATAGAACTGGGAGTTAAACCTAATCAGCTGGGTACCAGGTTGTGGGCTCCTCTTTGTTCCCCTGGGAGGTGAGGAAATGGAGATATCAACAGGAATATAAATCAGTGGTTCTCAAGTGTTTTGGAGTCAGGACCCTTTCACACACTCTCCAGAGTTATCAATGGCCCCAAAGAATTTCTGTTGATATGGGTTACATCCACTGATATTTACCATATTATAAATTAAACAAGAATACTTAAAATAGTTATTAATTTATCATAATGATCTCATTTTATAACATAAGATGCATTTTACAGAAAATTACTACGCCCCCCCCTCCCCCAAATAGCGAGAAGAATGTCACTCTTTCACACTGTTGTCAATCTCTTTAACGTCTGGCCTAGTGAAGGACAGCTGGATTCTCGTTCTGCTGCTGCATTCAGGCAGCAGTGACCTCGCACTGGTATAGCTCCTGGAGAACTCCACTGCAGACTTGAGAGAGGAGGAGAGTGAAAAGGGCAAACAGTGTGGCTGTATTACTATAAGAAAAGCTTTGACCACATGGCCCTCCTGCAAAGGCGGTGAGGACCCTGGACCGCACGTAAAGAGCGGCCGTGATGCCCTTGGAGTAGGTGGTGACGCTTCCAAGCATGTGCTCCTTATTTCCAAGGAGGAGCTTGATGACATAGTTACTAATGTGTGTGGCACCTTATGGTCATCAAACCCTTTCATGTGTATTTATTCACTGGTAAGGTTGCCACGGAGTGCAGTTAAATTTGAATTTCAAATAAGCAACAAATATTTTTAGTATAAATATATCCCAAATATATAGGGCATGGGACATACCTATACTAAAAACTACTTGTTGTTTCTCTGAAATCTAATTTAACTGGCCTTCCTATGTTTTTATTTGCTAAACCTGACACCCCTACTGGATGGGCTCTTCCTGAATACTGTTTGATTGAGAAGGGAAAACTAGGAAGCACGGAGAAGTCAATCTCCTGTCCAAGATGCCATGGGAAGAAGGGGGTAAAGCTAGTCTCACAATTGGGCTCTGACTGCGCCCCCTCCGATCTTTCTGCGAACACCATGTATGCTCAGTCACCTGAGCCAGATGTAGGAACCAATCCCTGAGGGCTCTAAAGTCCCCTCTGACCTCAGAAATGCAAATGTTTAAAAAGCAAAATGAGTATAAATTCTTAGTTTTTATCTGCATTCTACACCAATATTATCTAGGAGATGTGTATTTCCACACATGCACAGTAAAATTATAAGATATTCTTACAGTATACTTATTTATAACACACTTATTGGTGAGTTTATTTAACATTGGGGAGGTTTTTAAGAAGTCTAAATTACATGAAAGAAGCACCTGAATTGATATTCAGTAAAATACCACCAAGTCCTCCTGAGGGAAAAGTCCTCTTGTTCCACGTTTCCTAATGTCATTTGTTCTGATTCCAGAAGACACAGTCATTGCAATGGTCACAAATAAACCTCTGCTTTCTGTCTCAGTGAGACCCAAGGCACATAAAATTTTCATTGGAAATTCTGGATCTTCTTGGTTTGTTCCATTCCAAGAATAATTTTGCATTCCATGTACTTTTAAGGTTGTTGCACAGAAAAGTCTTCTCTTATGAACAGAGTGAGGCACGTTGTCAATGATGAAGTGTGTAGGTGTTTCAATGATGGGAACGTTGTGGTGAGGTTGTCTGAAAGAGCCTTGAACTTGACACAAAGAGCCCTGAGATCAATTCCTGGTTCTTTTCTGTGACACTGGGTCAAGCACCCTCTCAAGATTGATTTGTCCATTTGTAAAATAGGGATAATGACCATGTTCTGGCTCACCGTATGAATTAGATTAAACTGAGTGCATTTGAAAGCATCTGTCCAGGGATGGGGACATATGGGAGTTTATGGGGAAATCTACCTGCTCCCTTGTTAAAACAGCACCTTGGCCCAGCCAGTGTGGCTCACTGGTTGAGTATCAACCCATGATCCAGGAGGCCATGGTTCGATTCATGGTCAGGGCACAAGTCCTGGTTGCAGGCTTAATCCCCAGTGGAGGGTGTGCAGGAGGCAGCTGATCAATGATCTCTCTCATCATTGATGTCTCTCTCTCCCCCACTCCCTTTCTCTCTGAAATCAAGAAAAACCTATTTAAAACACACACACACACACACACACACACACACACACAAACAAACAGAAAAACAAAACAGCACCCTGATTTTCCAAGGTGCTGAAGAGAGAATCTGGCAGGGGTATTTGGTCTCATAGCCCCAACTCTTGTTCCCTAAGTTACTATGCACCCCATACTGCTCTTTTTAACCCCTTAGGGAAGGCTCACTGCAAGCTAAAGCCAAGATGTTCATTTAACAAGACTTTGGTACAGTTTGGAAATGGCTAAGGGAATTGGGCAAAGAGTAAGATAGACAGAGTTCCTTGATAAGGAGCTCTCAGAGGCACAGCCCCTGCCCATCTTCCTGTGGTCCCTTTACAAAGTCTGGGAGTCCTCAAGACCACCTTCAGGATAAAACATTTGCTGGAGAGACTCACAGAACTCACTGAAAGCTATTACACTCATGGTCACAGTTTATCACAACAAAAGGATTCAGAATAAAATCACCCAAGGTAAGAGATATGGGACAGAGTCCAGGAAAGTTCAAAGCATGGAACTTTCTGTTGTCCTTTCCCAATGGAATCATGGAAAGTGCTAACCTTTCCTAGCGACAGTGTGTGGCAATACACATGAAGTATTGCCAAGCAGGGAACTAAACTCAGCCTTGGTGTCCAGCGTTTTCAATGGGGCTTGGTCATGTAGACTTAATTCACTACCCATGTGGTTGACCTTTAGTCTGCAGCCCACCTGAAGGTTACATTGATACCAAGTGGCCCAACCCTCCTCCCATAAATTACTTTGTTAGACTACCCCATGTAGCCATAGGCCCTCATGTAAACAAAAACACTCTTACTGGGCAGGAATTCCAAGGACTCAGAGATTACCTCCTAGGAACCAAGGGCAAAGGCCAGACCTCTCTTTGGTAAGGTTGATTCTTCGCTACACAGCCTTTTGTCCTGCCTTCTGGCTTACGGCGGTGCCTTTCCCACCAGCTGGGAGCTTGGCTAGATTTCACAACCCAGACCCCAAAAAGTGTACCTGAGAGAGAAGACATTCCCGTATCATGTCCCACCAGGACTGATATTAGACCCGCCCTCTCCTCTTAAGGGATTCTTCTTCTTTCTCCACAACCGTGTGTCCCCATAGGACATTACCATCAGAACTTGAGTTTAATGTCACTGTGAGAAACACATGCACAGTGGTAGTGGGCCATTTCTTGCCCATTCTCATACCTACTTAAATGTTCATCACAAATCATTACTTACTCTCTGTTTTTAACCTAAGTCCATAGTTTTCCTTTCAAAGATAATTAAAAAGGCTTTGGAATGCTTACAGATAGACTGAAGCTGAGACACAGTAAGTGTCACAGTAACTGAAACACCATTCATTTACATGGTGCTTCAGATTTTACCAGGCCTTCTTCACTTAATGATCACCACCACCCTGTAAGGCTTGGAAGGTAGGTTTTGTTTTCCTCATTTTAGAGATAAGAAAATTGACAGAGAGCCCAGCTGACATGGCTCAGTGGTTGAGCTTCGACCTATGAACCAGGAGATCACGGTTCAATTTCCGGTCAGGGCACATGCCCGGGTTGCGGGCTCAGTACCCAGTAGGGGACATGCAGGAGGCAATCGATCAATGATTCTCTCTCATCATTGATGTTTCTATCTCTCTCTCCTCCCTTCCTCTCTGAATTCAATAAAAATATATTTTTAAAAAAAGAAAATTCTCAGAGAGTTGATCATCTTTCCCAAAGTCATGTGGCTAACAAGTGATGAAATTTAAGACCTTCATCTCAGTTCTAGTTCTGGTCGTGTCCTTTCCACTGTGCAACCTTGAATAAAGTGGACTGATTTGTCTGTGCCTCAGGGACTACCCTGTATCAATCCGCCTTTCCCAGGTCACTGTAAATGAGCAGGAGAATGATCAGCATGACACATGTGTATTTTTAATTCTAAGTGCTGGGGTAGCCGGCACGGGAGACCTGGAGTAAAGGCGTGAAAAGCAGCAGCCTTGGTGGTCCGCAGTGGGAAGGCAGTGGGTGCCCAGCCATCTTCCTCGATGACCTTGACATAGTAGAGGAGCTTTCTCTTGCTTTCAGTTCTCACTGGGTATTTCTTTTCTTCCTTTATCACAGGTGCTTTTGGACTGGACAGAAGCTATATGGGAAAATCCTTAAAAGGTATGGTGTAGATTTGAGGAAGAAATACATTTATCAAAATCATAATTTAAAAAAGACATATCAGAGACTGAAGTAATTTGCTACATGGACAAGAGTTTCAGTGTAGGGAAAATGTAGACTTACTGTGGTTATTCCAGCAAACACACAAACACGTTTGACTGACATCAAGACAGTGACCACAGATGGGTCAGTTAGAGCAGAAGTCGGGGGAATGCAGGTTTCACTTTGCTGGGGAAACACTTATATTTCCTTAAAAGAAGTGTGGCTTATGGGGGGAGGAAAGGAAAGAGCAGGGAAAATAGGAAGAGATCAGTGTGGTTACATGTTCACTGAGGCCTGCTCTTCAGGAAGACTTTGAGTAATAACTTCAGGTGCCCAGTACTGAGGTTTTACAAGAAATCCACGCAGCACAAATGCTTTCTTCACCGTGAGAATAGAACCTTCTTGTGCTCCTGGGTCCATCAGCAAATGGTTTCTCAATTGAAGCCTTTGAGAATTTGGAGACTCTTAGTAAAATAGAATGGAATTCATTTCATTTGAGTGTGATAATCAAAATGAAATCAAATCTATGATGTTTGTATTGGTATTCACCTTAGTAATTTTATAGCAAATTCTCTCCAAAATAAGTGAAAAACATTTAGTATTATTTTTAGTGTATATAATTCAGAAAACTAGCTAGAAAGAAAAACTGCCCAGCCCTGGCCAGTGTGGCTCAGTTGGTTGGAGCATCATCCCATACCGAACAGGTGGCATGTTCAAGTTTTGTTAGGGCACATACCCAGGTTCTAGGTTTGATCCCTGGTCAGGGTATGTGTGGGAGGCAACTGATTGATGTTTCTCTCTCACAGCAATCTCTCTCTCTCTCTCTCTCTCTCTCTCTCTCTCTCTCTCTCCCCCCCTCCCTCTGTAATAATAATAAAATTTTAAAAAATTGTCTAAGTAAATTACCACCAAGAAAAAAAATAACATTTTCAGTACACCTGAAACTATAATAAAAATAATATTAAATGTAAACTGTAATTGCAAAATAAAATTTTAAAAATAACGTTCGTGTAATATCATTTGCTTTTCCCGCTATTTCTCTTTACAGACTTGGGAAAGAATTCTGAATATAATTCAAGTAACTGCTCCCTAAGCAGTTCTGAAAACCCATATGCCACTATTAAAGACCCACCTGTACTTATCCCCAAAAACTCGGAGTGTGGCTATGTGGAGATGAAGTCACCAGCACGGAGAGATTCCCCATATGCAGAGATCAATAACTCAACTTCGGCCAACAAGAATGTCTATGAAGTTGGTGAGTTCTCCTAACCAAGAAACAACCTGCTATGGGAATTTAAAAAACAAAACTTTCAAAGTCTTTGAGACTACAACAGCATTTCATACAAACCTTATTAAAAATGGCCCATATTTTAAGTGTAAGCTGTGTTTACAGTGATCATATTAATTGATGTCAAATAATTTATTCAGGGAAACACCATTTAGAAAATTTAAAGGAAGTTTTCCTTATCTTCCACCTGGTCATCCATCTTTTGTTTTGTAGCCATAGTGAATATTTTAGCCTGCATGTGGAATAGCATATGTATCATATTAGCTAATACATCAACTTAGCCAAAACAAATGGTTCCACTAGATTAAACAGGTGGTTCCAATTCCTGGTTGCATTCATTATATTAATATAATATAATGCTTTTAGCAGGATTAAAACATTTTACTTCTAAATTTGTCTAATATATCAGTAAGAGTCTAAACTGTGAGTCTGGTACAAGTTAATAAGAATTCAATTTAAAATTAGAGATACTTTGATTGCCTCTTGCAAGTGCAACTTGGGGGAAGTTAAAACATATCAGAGCTATCACTAGCTAGATAATAGGGCTATATAATTTAATTTTTCTTACTCTCTATCTCTGTATCAGTATTTATGATTGAAACTTTAAAAAATTCTCTACTACTTGTAAATGAAGTGACTAATTTAACTCTAGTCGCTAGTAATTCATTTTATGCTGTAGACATGTCACTGAAGATATATAACTATTTAAAAAGTATTAAGACAGCTTTTTAAAATGGAAGGCATAGTGAACTAAATTGTTATAGAAAGGTCAGTAACAAGTGCCCTTTGCTCTGTCCCATAAGCTTACCACAGTAAGATTGGAACTCAACGTATGTTTCCATGAATCGAGTTAACTTCTAAGGACCTCAGTCTTCTCGTCTGTAGAGTAAGGGGTTTGCACTAGATTATTTCCCAGGTTTTTCAGACAATGATTCATATCCAGGGTTTCTGTATATTCCCTTGATGTCTTGATCCCAATGATACAGTCATCCTTTTGTTCCGAGCACCATTTGTGGGCATCAGTGGGTCTACCAACCACAGAGTAACCACCTCTGTGATTATAAAAGGATCATTTGTTTTTAAAAATAATATTTTCTTATTTGACATTTGCAAGAAATTCCATGTTCAATTTATTAATTTTTTTATTGCCAATAAATTAACGTGTCCCTGGTTGTCACAGAACCTACAGTGAGTGTTGTCCAAGGAATATTCAGCAATAATGGGCATCTGACCCAGGATCCATACGACCTTCCAAAGAACAGTCACATCCCTTGCCATTATGACCTGCTGCCAGTCCGAGACAGTTCACCCTCCCCCACGCGAGAGGACGGAGGCAGCAGCAGCAGCAGCAGCAGTGAATGACACCAAAGGACCTTCCGTAGCCGCTGGAACCCTTTCCAGAACTGCAGTTCGGTTCTTCTCCATCCTCATGTTGCCACCTTATGTGAATGTTAATCTACTTGGTAGGCAATTGCTGGGCGTAACCCAGAAAGCTCAAAGCTGAGGCTGACGGACGGTAGGTCCCTGGGTACGGGTGGCTGGGCAGGAGATACCATGTGATTTTCCATTCTTGTTAGTTTTAGAACTGCACCCCTGAAGCATGACTTCCTGTAAAATCTTGGCGATGAGCATGAACTTGCAGAACTCCTTCAGCGATGTGGGCTGCAGTGGACATTGGTATGATTGTTTGAAAAACTCAAGTTTAAAGATTTTTTTTCTCATTCGCATTGTAGATCTGTACCTAGGATTGTGCAGTTTGCCATAAAATTTAGTGTGAATCACTAAATATGTAGAAGAAAAGGGGCATATTATTGAGTCCTGATTATTTGGGTGTGTGTGGTTTGTTTGTTTTTTCAGTTGGACTCAGAATTGTAGGGGTAACATGAACCCAGGAGAAAACATTCTGTCAAGTGGCATAACTGAATAGACTGAATAAAACCCTAGCAGAAGTAGAAAATTTAAATATGAAAATTTAAATATGAAATTTAGATATGTAGACTTTTTTTAGAATGAAGAAATGTACACTTAGAATTATTTTAGAAACACTAGAGTTATTACAGGAGTCAATATGTGCTAGGCAGAGGCGATTTTTCTCCCTGTTTGACCCACAGCCCACTTTACATCCATGACATTGTTCTGATCACTGTCCCCATCATACACATTCACCACTTGAGATCCATAACATATCAGTAATTATTTCATAAATATGGAAATGGAATAATTTTATTTTTAAAAGACTGGATTGAATGAGTGTCTAATGAATGATTGGAAAAGGTTGTAAATTTTAAGTGTACAAAGACACTTAAGTTTTGTAAACCATTAGTAATACATGCTGTAATATAGAATTAGCAGAAAGTTTTTTATTAATTTTCCCTAGAAGTGATTGAAATGTTTTTGTGCGTATTTGAGGAAAGGGCACTTTTCTTTTATTAATTGTTGATTTAGAGAAACTATGCTTAAGCTGGTCTTTTGCATTGCTAATATGACATGTATCCCATTTTTCTTTAATTTGTATTTTCATTTTTAAGTTGTATATTCTACATTTTGTAGTGTTTGAATTGTTAATGAAAAATATTATATGTCTGTTGTTTCTTGTATTGTTGCCACTTATCTTTTTGCTTGATAAAAATGCATTGTTCTTTTTCTCTTTCAGAGGGAGGAGATAGAAATATGTAAATCAAATATATTAAAAATTGGTCATTACTAAAATAGTACAAAACCATAGGTGAATGAATGACTTATAATTGAAATAGACAAGGTTTTCAATATTCTAAAATGGAGTTCCTTTGGTCTGTGGGTTCTGAGTCTTGGTTAAACCAGGGGGGCTATTGTTCCTGAGTGCGTCCACAAACTGCTCTTATTAATACCTTCACTAGGGTGATCATATAATTGATCATCCAAACTGGGACACTTTTGAGAGTAAATGCGGACATTATCAATGATTATCCTGCAATGGGCTTCAATCTGGACTGCTCCAGGCAAACCAGAACAGATGCTCATCCAGTGCATACTGATCATGCAATAACATTCTCACCCCAAAATGCCAGTGTAATGCCAGAAAGCTAGTTTCTCTTTCTTGGACCTACGTGAGCAAGCCGAAGGGCTGGAAGGCTGAAAGCGGAAGCAGCTTCACAAGAGAACACAATGGTCTTCCATCTTAAAGACACCCTGTGTGGTGTCCTGTCTCAGGGAGTCAATTAACAAATATATATTGTGCACTTGTTCTGCCAGTAGTACCCATGTGGCATTGCCCCCGCCAGTCACTGAGTTGGGATATTCCAGTGACTTCATGTCATACACCTGCACCTGCAATGGCGGTTTGGTCAGATGGATGATAGAACAAACATACTTAGAGCATTTACTCCTTTGGTGGCTCTTTCTTTTAGGGAACCCCAAAGTTAGTTCAAGGAAATGTGGGCTTGCCTGGAATACACCCTAGAAAGAATTGATTTATTCCCACAGTTAACCTCTGCCTAACTCTTGCTCGATGATAGCGCGTAGGCATCTATTGGAGGCTCTTGTTAGTCAATAGCCATAAAGAGTCCTTATTGGTAAGAAAAAAGTGACATTTCCTCCTCCCCCCCCCTTTCTTTTTTTTAAGGATCATCTCTTCAAATTTCCATGGTAAGTTTGAGTTTTCCCATTACTCCCTGAAGATAAGTAAAAGAAAAAAAAATACCTATTTCTTTTCTCATTCCACTATAGGAAGAGGGGAGGGGAGGGTATACTGACGCTAAAACTCATTCACATCTGCATGCCACACAATTATCACATCGGTAATAAAAAAAGGGTTCCTAGATTTCCCTGACCATGGATTTTATCATAGGCATGTTCTTGTGGTATTAATCTTAGCTGCTTATTTTGAATTAGTGCACTTCTCAATTTAAAATCATGATACATTTTAGACATTTCATATGTTCTGTGTACTGCAATCACAGAAGTAAAAAGTCTAGGACTTCCAAGAACAAGCACCAAATTTGTAAATATAAACTCAAAACGAATACTGTTACATTTCGTTAGTATACAACGAGCTTCAGTTTGGCCTCGTCATTTAGAGTTAGCAGTCCTTGTCGTAACGTTCAATGTGCAGTTGTAACCGAGAGAAAGATTGACTCTGGGTAATGCCACAGAGTGCCCTAGAATTCTTAAACTTGTTGCTGAGAGTCTACCTCCCTCCCCATTGTTTTCTTTGGTGTCTTCAATCGAATCTAAACAAAAAGGTCTTCTCCAGGCCTTGTTTTCATTTGTTTCGAGGACACCTGGAAGCAGACATCCTGGTCTTCCCAAGGCACGCCCAGCACTGACGTGGAGACCAAGGCCCGCGGGCCCTCCCCACAGAAGTGGAGCTAAGGTTAAATTTTGTAAAATAATGAATTTTCTATCTCTGGGTAACGTCTTTATTATTCAAAATAAGTATTTAAGAGGTATTTTGGTCTTCAAGGCTTTATGTCATGGAAATGTACATAGATATGCAAGTGTGAATCACATGGTGTGGCTGGGTAATTGTTTATTAACTAAAGATGTTTACTGCCCTTTAAGGTCCTCTTCCAATTAGTATCCGAACACTGGGTCTGCTTATTCCAATTTAGTATTTAGTCCAGGCTTCATTATGATGTAAGCAAATAGCAATATAATTTTTTAAAGGAAAAAAAATGAGACTATATTAAGTTTTCTTGATTTTAGTAAACAAAACAAAAAAATGCTTTCAATGTTAAAATATCTCTTCTCCAAAGATGATAAACTTTCATCAGTATTAGCCTCCATTGCCATTTATATCATCAAAATGTGTTATAGATGAATGCAATAAACTTTCTAATAGAAAAACTATAAAGTTGTGTTTATTTCTATGTTTCATTCCATTACTAATTAAAGAGAAGAAAAAACTTACAATCTTACTGGAAAAATTAATATTTTTTCATGTGTGGACTCATAGCACTTCATATATACACTAGAGGCCCAGTGCATGATCGGGTTGGGGAGGGATTTGGGAGATTGGCCAGCAGGGGAGGGACCGAGGGAGAGACCGCAGGAGGGCTCCAGGGCGTGCCCAGCCCATATTGCTCAGTCCCAATCAGCCGGACCCCAGCAACAATCTAACCTACCAGTCAGAGTGTCTGCCCCCTGGTGGTCAGTGCAGTCACAGCGAGTGGTTGAGCGGCCTTAGCATATCATTAGCATATTATGCTTTGATTGGTTGAACTGAACAGACAACCAGACACATAGCATATTAGGCTTTTATTATATAGGATTTAAAAAACAGGTATACTTTATAATATTTAATTGCTCATGTATCTGCTTTTCCTTCAGAATTCTTGTTCTTAAAGGACAGAGGATCATATTTGGATCCCTGGAACCCAGGTCAGTGGCTGATAGGTCTTCTAGAAATAGCTCTAGGTTATCTTATATGGATTTGCTTTTTAAATCTCAGTAGCCTATTAACGTTTTCTTTTATGATTAAAACATTTCTGAAACACTTTATCGCATTAAATATGAATAAAACATTTCTTTTCTTAATATCTGTTTATTTACTGAGGGCCTGAGTGCCAAGCACAGTAGGGGATGCAGGGAAATATACAACATGAGCTACTCTTGAGTCACTCATTATTATTATTTATTAGGGAAATAAAGTATCTTACTAACTGGCTTTGGGAAGTTACTTGACTTCTGCGGGCCTTGAGTTCTATATTATTTAATGGTGGAAATAATAGTACCTATTTCAAGGACTTTTGTGAGAATTTAATAACTTTCTACATACAACACACTTCAGTGTCTACATGTGGTAGATAGCTGGTGTTAGCTGTGTAACAATTATAAAAAATTAACCAATAATATGATTCAGTTTGTTATAAGCTGTGAGGCTGGTAAGTCAGAAGTGAACATTTAATGAGTATTATGAAACCTACATGTCCATATGACCACATCCTGATCTATTTTTGTACTATAAAAAAATTCCATACATATTTTATTTCTGGAGTTATAATTGAGAAAAACAATAATAATATGATTTCATCTTCCAGTAATATGTTATATTCCTAAGAATTGTGAATGCTTTTAAAATGTTTGGGTGTGGGATTCTAGGAAGATGGTGCCCTGGCCTTGCATTCCCATCCTGGCAAATACAGCCGTCCAGATATAGTCAGGGCTGCCCTTAGCCACCTGAAGAGGCTCCACCCACAGTGGGACCCCAAGTCCTTGAAAGAGGTGCATGTAGGGAGCAAAATGTAAATGGGAGTTGCTGGGGGGGACTGTGGAGAGTGTCTGGGGAGAGCCAGCTGACCTGGGAGATACACAAGGAGAAAATAAGGGAAGACTGCCTCTGCTGCGTGCATGTGCAGCAATGAGAGAGGCTACCATCTCAGGAGGGGTAGTGTCCAGGCTGGGCTAAGATCAGATTTCCCTACTTGGACTTGTGAACCGAGAGCCTTCTGCCACTTACATCAACATTTGGCAAAGGGGATCTCTGGCTGCCCACTGAGGGGAAAACCCCTACTCTGCCGCCAATAGGCAGGAAAGACCAGAGAGATCCACGGAAGTGTTGAAAACCAGCACGTTGTCAACTCGAACTGGCAGAGAAAAGTCACAAACCACTCAATGGTGCCGGAAGCTGGTCCATCCTTGCTGCTTGACACAGTCGCTGCAGGGAAGAAACATCTGCACAGCATATGTTTCAAGGGACCTGGGGTATATGGCATACTGTTCTTAATTTGTTTGCTCCCCTTCTTAGCGCTATGTGTTTTAACCAAGGTCACCTCTCTGGGAAAGGTTGTTTCCCCAGGTAGAGATTTTTCCCTGGAGTTAGGGATTAACAGGACTAAGGAAGGGAATCAGTAAAACCCCTTAACTAAGTGCCAGGCGGGTAGTTAATCACTTTAACTACGAACAACCTTGGAATGGAGATAACAAACGCCCTAACCTTTGGAATAGAATGGACAGGATTAAAATCAACTGGTATAAATACAGATGTAACAGGAGAATAAAGAAAGAACCTCGCTATGCTGATCAACTGAACGCTGTCTCCGTTTCATTCCTTCTTCGCTGACTCCGTCCACACCTTTGGGAACCCCTGGACCTGCTGGGGCTGGACCCCAACACAATGGGAACATTGCAGCCCAGGTAGAAGGAAAAGAAGCTAAACTGGAAATCCACAATAAACCTCTACTGTGGAGGTGGAGCTAATTATGTAGATAAGGGAAGAAATCCTAGATAAAATATGATTAAAACTTTTCAAGGTATATTGTAGGACCAGAGAACGTTTCCTGGAACTGAAAGTAATGATTTGCCAATTAAACTCTGCGGGCTGCTTTAAGGTGGCACTTTAGTTCTCTTACTAAAATCCATGGCCTCGTCTTTGCCTTAGTTTCAGCTTGGTGATCCCGGTGGCCTGTGGGTCAGTGTTTAACCGCCAGATGTCTGAAAAATAATTAAAGGCACTGATCTGTATGTAGCACTTTCTCATTTCCATGAGTAAGTCCTCCCACCAGGGCCCAGGTAAAGCTACAACAAGACATCGCTGGATGGTTAGGGAGGGATGCTCAGTAGCACACGATTATATGGTTTCTTCACAACATAGACACGATAACTGTAAATACCATCAAGGACATAACTAATAGTAAAAGGTAGTGAAATAATTAAAATTGGTGAATTTTAAGCACAACTTTTTAAATTATACCTTACTGAATTGTAAACATAAATACTTTCATTTTAATAATGACTGTGCATAACAACTGGCTCACAGAATTCCTAAAGTTTTCACAGTTGGCTTTCAACAAGCCCATATGAGGTGCTTCAGCACATCCCTGTGTTTGTGTAACCCTGATTTCCGATTGTCCAAGCAGGGACCATGATCTCAAGCCACTGACATTAATTCACAGAAGGAGCTCACAGTGTATTTCCTCCTGCCTTTTAGTTTTACATCCAGAAAAACTTGGCCCATTAAGTTTATACATTCACGTAAGCATTTATTTACTGAAAAAACTGTGAGCTGTGTCTTCTCAAATGTAAACATTTCTGATGGACTCATTTTACCAGAAAACGATGATAGGAACTAGATTATTTCTTTCTTAAAAGATCCTCAGACTAATTTGGCCTTGAAGGAGTGCTCTTCGTTAGTGGCTTTCCCGAGAAGCATTGAATTACAGTGGTTCTCAACCTTCCTAATGCCGCGACCCTTTAATACATGTTGTGGTGACCCCCAACCATAAAATTATTTTTGTTGCTACTTCATAACTGTAATTTTGCTACTGTTATGAATCGTAATGTAAATATCTGATATGCAGGATGTATTTTCATTGTTACAAATTGAACATAATTAAAGCGTAGTGATTAATCACAAAAACAATATGTAATTATATATGTGTTTTCCTATGGTCTTAAACAACCCCTGTGAAAGGGTCGTTCGACCCCCAAAGGGGTCGCGACCCACAGATTGAGAACCGCTGAATTAGAAGATGACTTCACTCAAGGGTCCTGGGCTCCTTATGCTATATAAACTCTTAGCATGACGATTTATTTAGGAGTTGCCATTCAGAAAAAAATACACTTATGCACAAAGCTATTTAATGATGCCATTGCTTATCACTATACACAGAGTTCCTTAACTTTGTAATAGAACCCACTTGAGACTTCTCCCAGGATGAATGCCCAACTAACAGAGACCATTAAAAATTGATGACTATGTTATAAGAACTGGATTGACTGTTTTCTTCATAGGGCACTGGTTTGAAAAAGACTCACTTTAATATTTCTGTTCACTAAATAGCTGGGAATTGATAAAAAGCAAGTGCTTGAATTATAGCTATAATTTTTTTTAAGTCCTGAATATTTTTTTGTATTGCAGGTAGATTTTATTTCTGGCAGAAAGTAAACTGCCGTTGAATCACTAGACAAAGATAATTTTAAAACACTGGAATGGAAGGCAGGTGTTTTCTTACTTGTCTGAGATGTTAAAAGAAAGCCCTGACAGCTTAAGCTCAAGGGTTGGTCTCCAGAAAGAATATATTTAAAAAGTGGAGAAAATAAAGGGAAAAAAAACTAGGAAAAAATACGCAGAGGCTCAAAATATTGCTATTTTCCTTTGTAGAGCAAAGTATAAGATGATTGCCAATGAATTCCCTTAAACTTGGAGTGAGAAACCATGTGGCCATATTAATGATGAGAAAATTCCTTTTAGTTATTAAAAGAGTGTCATTTTCCTTAGAAGGAAAACTGATTCTTCCATGAGCTCAGCACCTGATATGTAAAATGGGTCTCCATTAAGTGATCTTAATTGAATACACAAATATAAGAACATTACATACTTCATTAAGTGCTTTAGAAACTTTAAAAGCAAGTCAGTATTAATTTACTT